CACACCACAGCTCCAACATGTATCATATGTAATACTGATTATCTGCTCATACCATAGACAGTGGACAGGGACCACAGCTCTGACACCTTCTAGTCTGATGTTGCGCTACTATATGCGCTTTCTCTCTGCTGTCCCAACTGATGCTCATCTCCACCACTGACTATTCTTGGTTTACACTATTTGGCACTCTGCTTGAGCAAAAACAGTGGCCATGTCCTGAAGAAGCTAGTTATCAATGGCAGTTCCGTCAGCAGATATGGTAGACGTGTTCTCATCTATACTCTGACTCTTGTCCAGAAAAGCTTTTACACAACAGGAATTCAGGGCAACAACTCAAACCTGACAGTCGAGACCTGAAGTCAAAACCATGCCTTTTGCTGTTTAGAAGGCATGTGGTTCAGTTGAACAAGAACACCCAGCACAAGCTTTGCTTAGCTATACTTAAACATCCACTCCTATTTATCTCTCCTGCCCAGTCTCTCCCCAGTGATGGTGGAACTGCTGCCCACCTGCAGACATGCCCACTAACCCGTCCACAGCAAAACTCGTCTGGCTCTCCAAAGCACATTTTACTGGTCCCTGGAGTACATCCTTAACATCTCTTGCGAGTCATCTGTCTCACACACATCAAGTTTCTAAGGGAGCTGAAAACAGCAGCCATGAGTTAGATGTTGCTCGGGAATGGAAACACAAACCTTGTCCCTTGCTAAACATACACTGAACTGGAAACGGCAGAAGCTGATGTCTTACCCCAGTATCCCCTGATTGACATTTCACTGCGCTTCAAAGCCCGCACAGCTAACCAGTATCACAAGAATAAGGCATTCACCAATTAGACCAGCCCTCTCGCAAGCAAGCTAAGGAACCGTGTGAGATGACAAGGCAGCGCTGCATTTCAGGTCAACTGTTCACAGCACGGTTCAAGCACAGAGCCTGCTCTAAGCACTGACCAACACAAACGTATTAAGTTATTCCACCAGCAAAAATGGGGAGCCGTTAACGACCGGGGCCTGAACGCTCCCACTGATTTATGCCGAGAGATTTTATTGCTCCATGTCACTTGTTACATAATCAAGTGGCCGAGAACTCGAGCTTCCTGTTCAAATGTCCATTATCATTATTTAATTACAGAACGACAATTCAGTAGAACAGTGGCAGTTCCACTACTGATCCCTTGTAGCCTGGCTGAGCCACAGGAGAGCAACTGGACCGTATGGTAACATCTCAAGATCCTCTTCGGAAACCAGGGCTCATCCACAACTCATGTGAACCCTCACCTCTACACTTGAATCGAGTTAGGCAACACGCTACCCCAACAGAGGCACGGGGAGTTACATCCCAGAGCTCTTACAGAAACCGTACAGCTAGGAGCGGTCCCAGAGGATGTCTTCCCCACACAAATGTTCCCTTTCAGCCCCCGATGATCCCCAGCCAAACCAGTCTGACAAGGCAGTTATGAAAATGAGCACATACTTAAACTCTTGAGACTGCAAGCCTTCAAAGTTTCACCTCGTGGTACAAGCAAGCCCAAAACAGCATTTAAAACCCATGCACAGCTCTGCTATTAAGAACAAGCCAACCACCAAAAGCCCCATTCTTTCAACAAAGCCATACAAACCTCCTTCGAGGTATACACAGCTATCTGACCTGACAAAAATCAAAGTTGAGCCCAAATTGTCAAACCACAGAAGTAAACCCGACAATGTTCTTGCAAGCAAATTTCTTCTCATGCTGTGATGAACTTGAAAGGGGCTGAATGCTACACCTCAAACTTTATTAAATAGACACAAGCCCTTCGTAAGCCCAGGGACATAGCCCATGGCTTCCTACCTTCGTAGCAGCCCACCTACGCAGCGCACGCATTCTCTGCCGGCTCCTGAGCAAAGCGGTTGCTGTACCAAAGCCACCCGAGTGGGCACCTTTGAAGTAGAAGCTGAACATCTTTGCTGCGGTACCTTTCATGTTCAAAGCAGTCACAAAAGCCAAGCAAGGAAGCCGTTGCTCTTAAAACATTACCGTGCGTGTTTCCAAGATGAACAGTTCCATTTTATAATTGACTTTCAGTGGTACATGTGAGTTCTTAGATGGGAATCTCTTACAGAACTCCTCATAATATCGAGGGTCCACCCCTCATCTGTTGTATGTGGGAAGCGTGAAACCTTGTAGTGTGTTCCTGTATTTAAAATAAGTAGCTATGAAGCCATAAAGAAAACTGAGTATTACACTCAGAGGATTTTTTTACCACTAGCAGTGGCCCTGTTCTTCCCTTGCATGCTCCCTGCCCAGGAGTGACAGCACCCTAACTCATGCCCAGGCCCAGCCTACCGACACTGCCCCACCGCCTGAACATCCGACGCGGGATTTGCCTTCGCAGCAGCACTGTCCAGAGCTGGAAGACAGGCTGGCCTGGCAGAGGAAGTGCCTTTGTGCTTTCTTCCACTCCATCCCTTGCACAAGAAAGGAAAAGGACAAAGAGAAGCAAGATCTGCATCAAGCCACAAGGTGCAGTAGGTCTATCACTATGCTCACAGCCATCTCAGCAGTTCGCTGAGCACAGGCGCTGGCTCCCTTTTCCAGTCTTCCTAGGGCTGGGAGCATCTTTCCAGCAAGAACCATTTACAGACCCTTATTCCGTAATTTTTGCAATGCAGGCACCATTTGGAAACACTTTGGCAAGACGGGCAGGATGAGATGAAAAGGAAATGAGCTCACGTTTGCCTTCGCTGAGTTATTGTATTGCCAAGACACAGACAATACATCCAGAGACCAGGTTTCAACTCAGAGGCCTGGCAACAGCATCAATCACAAACCCAGCAAACCCCACACCGCTTCACCTGTAATAACCCCTAACTTAACCGCTAGCCCAGCTCCCATTTGCCATCCACAAGACCCATCCCAGCACCAGAGCCCAGCTGCAGCTGGGCGATAAGCAGAAGATACCTCACACGAGCTTCTAAAACTGACAGGAGCCAAGCTGAGAAGAGATTCACATCCGCTGGCAAGCCGCACACAAGTCTCTCCTCCTTCTTTGCAAGCTGCTTAGCAGAACTTCGGGGGAACTCGGAACACAGCTGTGGTACCATACAAGCTTTACCGCAAAAATGAAGAGCAAGCTAAAGCTTCCAGTAACCGACCGTAAAACTCACACCAGTTGACAAACACAGGTTTATTTCTGTTCTCAACTGAAACAGGACTCGGTAGGCTCATTACCTGCAACCCAAGCGCTCCGCTTCAGAAGCGAGCTTCCAGGCGCGGAGACTCGCGGGAAGAAGCCTTCAGATGTACAGTATTTATATCACAGAGTACACAATAAATTACTATCTACATGCAACATACCTACAAAAAGTTACATACAATGTAAAAAAATACAGTATTTTCTGCTCATTTTTTGTTTTAAATTTTTTTCTGTACATTTTTTAATTTACATTTTTATACACATTTTTGTAAACTTTTTGTATTTTTATAAAACTGAAATCACGTTAACAGTTATCAACTTACAGCAACGCTCTTACCAATCTAAAACAATGCTTGCACCTACAAAACAGCCTTTACCTCATTTGCCCCTTCATTTCTACTTTGGCATCAATGCACTTTATGCCATTATTCTGCGCTAATTAGAACGCTCACTACCTAGCCATGTTCTCAATACGGAGAAACGCAATCATACTTCAACTTGTGCTTCAGTAAAGAAGTTCAGAAAAAAACATAACATTAACTACTTCATCAACACCACATTTACCTGGTATTACTGCATAATATCAACTTTTCCTGCATTAACTGCTTCACATAAGCATGCAAACAAGTCTGACTATGACTCAGTAACATGAATATACTGAAAAACAACTACAAGGGTTAAACATTAAAAGGAATGTAGACTTGGCAAGATTTACCGTGTTAATAAGCCTAAGCTAATGGTATGGACTGACATGTTAACACTTAATATCTTAAACACACTGAAGTATACAACATAAGTTTCAGTGTAAAAACATCTGTATTAAACAAAATATGAAATCAGTCCCTGCCATATAGTGTATACGATCCTTCAGTGAAAACTAGTATTGGCCAGAAACCTCCTTCTTACCATGCATACTCCTGCTGTGAAATAGGCATTTCTGAGGTTTGTAAAAAACACGCTTTAAAAAACCCAACAATCTACTTGGAATATGCAGCTGAAGATCCTGCTTAAAAGGAACACACCAAGTAAAGTGTTAAAGCGCTTTCAGTATCTGGCCCATTTGACAGTAAATCATTTCAGCCTGGTACCAAGTATACATACGGTTCCACATAACCTACTCAGCCGATTAGATAGCACCCCAAAATACTCAAGGGTGAGGGTGCCCTCAAGAGGAGCCTAGTCCAACCTCCTGCCCAAAGCAGGGTCAACGCCGATTTCAAACCGAGCTTGAGGTTTTGTCATGTTGAATCCCGAGAACCTCCCAGGACAAAGACAGCACAGCCCCTCTTGGCGCACTCCCATGCTAGACTGTCCCCATGGAGCAAACTTCTTCCATTAACTGCTAAGTCCACATTTCAACTCAATGAAACCCTCTCATTCTCACTCCATGCTTCTCAGTCAAGACCCTGAAGTCTCCTCCTCAGCAACCTCCTCTGATACCAGAAAGCTGCTGATCAATCCCATCTTGCCCCACAAGGCTGCTTTGCCAGGCTGAATAAGCTCATTACGCTTGGCCTCTCTTCACAGGTCCTGTGCCCGAAATTGCTTACCCATCTTGGCAGCTTCCCACCGGACTTGCGCAAGTTAATCAACGTCTTGAGCCCAAAACTGGACACCGTTCCAAACGAGAGTGGAAGACAATTAAAGGGAGGAAAAAAACCTACTTCTCTCACTCCATTGGCTAAGCTCCTGTCAACAAAGGCCAGGATGCTGCCAGGGCACACGGCGAACATGTTTAGCGGCTAACCTTGTTGGACCACCAGATGCAGGGCTACATTCATGCTTGTTGACAACAGAACTAGACATCAACTTCTCTGCCGAAGCAGGGACCTGAAGGGTTTTTCTTCCTTAATATTACAACAAGAAAAAAACCAAGGCAGGCATTCAAAGCATTGATATACCACAGCAATTCTTGCCTTAACACAGCTTACAGATTACCACCTCATTTATTATTGCCAGAAGAGTCTATGGTGCATTAAAAAGTCTCAACCTAGTACAATCAAGACTTAACATGAGGACCGACAGCTAAGAGTTTGCCACTTGGTTTTAGGTTTGAGTTCAAAGAAGAAGGTGCCTTCCAGATCGCTCGGAGAACTGCTGAGGCTTTCTTCTCCGCTGCTCATATCTTCACAGGAGTCTTCACTAGAAGGAACAGTAGGAAAGGTAATTTAAAGAAAGCACAAGCCCTTGAAAGTGGCAAAGTACTCGTCAATCCTGTGTATTCTTGCAAGCTGTTCTGTTCCTCGTATAACATCCCAGACCTAAATGCTTCTCAGCACCAAGGCTGAAATCGTAACAAGCTGGAATTTCTTTTCTCCTAAAGCCAAAAATATCCCACCAACCAAGCAGCCACTGTTCAAGATATCAAATATCTTTAGAAGACTTAAATGCTTTTAAAGCCTCCCTGCCTTAAAAAAAGGAATGCCTCCCCCCACCCCACAAAGCACTTGTTCTTTCTGAACATCACAGTAAGAGTTCCTCCCCCCTTTTTTTTTTCTTCTTCTATTTAAGATAAAACTGAAGTCCACCAGTATTGTCAAAGTTAATTATTTTTTTTCTTCAGTAGCACTTGAATAAGCCTAGGTGCACAGAGCTGCCATTACCATTTCCAGAAAACGAGAATTTAACAAATTTACCAGCAGGTGTTAAGTTTTACCAACCTCTCGCTTTCATTGAAACATCCACCCTCTGGTATCGTTGGCAACTCAGGGACACTGTAGTAACTGTTTTGTAGATTCTGGGCTGTACGTCTCGAAACAATCCAAACCAGCTTTTTATGATCAGGCTTACAACACTCAGGAGAAGAATAATCTGCTAGGCATTTTGAGACCAGTTCCCTCCAGTAAAGTAGGTCACTATCACTTATCTGAAAAGCAAAAAGAGAACCTACTCACATACAGGCTCTGAAGATAACCCTTCCCTCCATTTTACCTTCTCTGAAAAGACTTGAAAAAATACCAGTCAAGATCTAAGCGAGTCATAAGTCTGACACCTTTGTCAAAGTTGGGCTGCTTTTGAAGGGGAACTCCTATACTCCTCCTATAAATGTCCATGTTGAAGTCCGAGTTGACAGTTTGCCTATCAGGTGCTGTTATAACATTTTCATTATCACTTCCAAAGGAATAAAGAAACCAAGACTATGCAATTTTAAAATGGAATAATCTCATGCTTTAAGGAACTACTTTGAATCCTCAAGAAACAGGATTAGTTCAATTTGACAGTAAAAGTAAAAAGCTTGCTTTAGACCATCAGCTGATATAGTATGCAGCTAGAAACTATATATCCCATGTTAAGTTATTCAGGCAAAAAGAATAACCAGTCCCATAGTCACTGTAGTCCTACCAACAGATTCCAAGTTTCTCTAGAAAATACAGCTAGAACGGTACAAGTTAAATCAGCTGCTTGTTAAAGCATGTATTGTGTAGGCATTACGTCACCATTGCTTCTGATTTTACACATTTAAGTTTAGGGTTTTTTAACCATAATCCTTTTGATTGCCAGGCAGCTGCCCAGATGCACTAGTGCAAAATGACGACCTGACTTCATTCTCTAAGCAGCAGTTTTTTGCATTTGGCATTCCAGCAGCGAAACCCTGTTGGTTACAAGGGTTTCGGACAGATGCTGAAAGACCCGTTTCATTGCTTATTTCAGCTGATGCCAAACAGTACCTGCAAAGACTGTACACCCACAGCAGGGATCCCTTAAATATAACTTGGTACATGATTAACCTCATCAGTCCCGAAAACTGCAAAAATGATCCACAGAAAACGTTTACCTTAGAATGCTTTTGAACACGCAGAAGGATCTCAAACAGCTCAGCAGATTTCAAAGTCTGAACTTCTAGAGTGAGAAGGCACAAGGCCAAGACAGATGGCTAGAAGGACAAAAAACACCACTCAACATGACATCAATCAAAACCTACTCCTAAGTGTAAGAAAGCTACTTCCACTTACTTTTGCTTTAGAGAAGACTAGGCGACAGTTGCAAGCTTTTAGCTGTGCTTCCAATTTGTCGAGATTCAAAACTTCTTTCCTGTAAGACACCCAACAGAAGCAGCATTTGTATCAACAAGCGTTCGCTTGTCAGGAAGTAAAAACCAAGGAGCTGCCTCCTCTACAGCTAATGCCATAATCCCTTAAGAGGCAACTAAAGAGAAGAAGGGCTTAGCAAGCGTATAGACCACCACCGACATGCAACTCTGCTCACCTTTCTGAGGTATGACAAAGTACAATAGTATGGTACAAGTGCAAGAAGGTTAAGGCAGTAGTAGCTTTAAATTCAAAGTGCAACTTTTCAGAAATTATCTTTTCCATCCGTTTCAGGTCAGACACAGTGCATTTACATTGGCTGATCCGGATGATCTCATGAGCAGATGGAATATTGCATTCTTCTTCGACTACTCGGGCAGCCAGTTGGAAACAACAAACTCCAATGCAAGATAAATGCTTCGGTTTCACCTAAAAATAAGAGGAAGCCCTATGAAAACTTCCCCCCCGCCATACACACTGTGCTTATCTAAGAGCAACACCAACAGCTCACCCAGACTAGGTGAGCTGTTTTGAATATTCACAGATCAATAGAGAGAGATACGCTTATCTCAACTAGACCTACATCAGTCAGCTTATACACCTCACCCAGTCGTAACTTGTTTCATCACTTAAGTTTCAGCAAAACACAGCTGGCAGAAGCAATACTGCATAGCTTAGTCAAGTTCTACAGCTGAGCACCCTCTATTGAAGTTGTTCCACATCACCAGACAACAAATAATTGCAGTGAGAACTGTAATACCCAGCTTCTCCAAGCGGCAGTGCTCAGTTACCCTCATTTAAAGCCTATGCGAATCCAGCCCGAGCCTGTTCTAGGCAGTCCTATCCCTCCACAACTGGCTTCTACCTCTGCTATTCTCCCCCATGTACGAGCATAAGGTTTTGTGCAACCTCCAGGACAGTCAGACCAGAGAACTGATGCAACTTTGGTTTTACTGCCAACTGCTTTTGTTCCTTCTTAATTCCTCCTGAGTGTTTTACTTCTACATGGTGAAGGCTACTGACTTATTAGAAGAAGAAATAAACCATGCTTCTACTTGCCTTTAGATGTAAAAAGAGGCCCCAGTATAAATTAATTAATAAAAATCACACCAAAGTAAGCTCAATTCTCATGCAAGAGCTGTACTCCAAGTTTACAAAGGAGGATCACTGAAATGTTGCTAACATAGAATGAGTAAATAGCCACGGTTACCTCCTAGACCACAACGTCCCCCTTTTTGTCAGGCAAGAAAGTTCACAGGAAGCTCGCATATTCCCAGCTGACACTATAGCAGGTCCTCTCCCCCCAAAATACCTTCATAAGAGCCAAGAATCTGTCCAGAATGTTCACAGCCAACACAAATGTTTCAGTTGCAAAACCAAAAAAGTTGGTCAAACTCCAAAGATCTTCCACCTTGGCATTCCTTTGTCTCGGAGACAGAGTATTTTCATTCTATGGCAAGAGAAGCAAAGTCAGAATTATTCAGTGGCAGCAGCGACCACTGTGACTGCTCACTCCCTAAGTCATCTTTTACTTAGATGGAAGGGAAGCAGTACTTTTCTTCCCTAAATACGTTATTTCTCACCACTTCAAAAAATTAGTTCAGATACTTGAGACTCAAAACACACCCAAGGTAGAGGGATTACAGCCAGGTCCTGAGTCCCACTGGTGCAATACCCAGCACAATGACATTTCCAAGTAGGCAGTAGTTATTCAAGACAATAGTTACCAAGTGCGTGCATACACAGTGACTCCTGACCTCACCGAAACTGAGATGACCAAACTCAGCTTATTCTCCCGTCTGCCTGCATGTCAATATTTAAGCAACAAGAGTTCTGCTTTCAAAACAAACAGACTGATTTCAGAGACTTTTTTCATTAAACATTACAGCCCTTTCCAAAAAGCTCACAGGCATCCAAAGGAATGTAAGCCTTCCCAAAGCTCCGTAAGGAACTCTGATCATTAACGTGGAAATGTTTATGCTTAGTTTTTTGCCGTTAAGCACGGAGTGCTTGTGGGTTCCTTTCCCTAGACCTTGCTAATGAGAAGCTGGTCATTTCCCCATTTGTTAATTGCCTACTTGACATCCCAGCTTTCCTGCAGCGGTACAACACAGTGGTAGAAAGCACCCGAGAAGAATATTCCACTTCCCTTGGTTCTGTCTTCACTCCAAGTTTAAATAATAAATGCCTAAGTATTTCAGTTGCCCTGTAGGTCAGAGCTCTTTGATAACGTAGTGTATGTTAATAACAGCAAATTGAGTTGAAACAACAGGCAAGCAGCGTTTACAAAGTAAAGAATTAACTTTCCGAGGTTAAGGCACGTCTCCCTTCAAGCTCGCAGGTTTGTTTGTTTTTTTTTTAATTAAAAAAAAACCGATTATTTGCTGCCCTGAGGAGGCTGCCTGGTCCCTCCGCGCCTACCCCAGCCCAGTTGCCCGCTCCCCCCTCACCTCGGCGGCGCACTCGATGAGGCTGAGCCCCTTCTCGCGGGGCTGAAACCGCCCCTCCTGCTCCAGGTGGAGATTCGGCTGCTTGACCAGCCACAGCGCCTCGCTGCTCATCTTCTCCCCCGCCTCCGGAGCCTTTACCTTTACGGCAGACACACGGCGTCAACATCTGGCAGCTCGCCCCCTCCAGCCCACCCCGGACAAAGGGAGCCGAGCGCCCCTCGCCCTCTCCAAACCCACACAGCACCGGGGAGGCGAACAGAGACCCGACAGGACGCCCCAAGGCGGGAGGCAGC